AAGACCGGGTGCCGACTTTTTACGCACCGACATAAGGGCGTTTCTAAATTCCTTCATAAAAAGAGGATTATCCAACCAGGAGCAAACATTGGCAAGAGAACCGTCATCGTCCTTCATCTCCTCCACTAGTTTAAAACAATCAAAGAAAGCAGACGCCGGACAGAACTTATCCATCATCTCAAAAGAGATACGTCTAAGATCCTGAGAATTATTATCCGAAGGAGCAACTCTACTTTTAAATTATTATCCGAAGGAGCAACTCTACTTTTAAAACTTTTAATGAGACTCCAAATTTACCTTGTGGGAATTTTACTATTGAATTTGCCCAACCTCTGCAAAATTCTCTGGTGTAGGACAAGAGATAAAGAGCCTGATGGCCTTCCTCCTACCCCCCACAGCCTCGGAGCACTCCTTGTTCCACAAAGGAGGGACATCATACTTGGCGCACAACGCAACTGTGCGCGGAAAGCGCTTGCGCTCTGGAAAGAAATCTCTAGCTTCCATTAAAATATCATTAACAAAGGAGTCGTAAAGCGCTATCACATTCTCGTGGTTGCGGAACGAGAGGCTGCTGACATTAGACAAAAGACTACGAAAATACGATTGAAATTGCTCCTTAGAAAGCAATATCTTATAACAGAACCTAGACTTCAGACAAACCTGAGCGCCCAGGTAGTGACTACGGGATAATGATCGCTTCCATACGAGTCGGATTCCACTGAGACGTACACAAAGGGGCCAACTGAGGAGAGGCAATGACAAGATCGATAACCGAGACTGCATTCGGTGAAGGATGCAGTAGGGTTGGAGTGCCTCCGTTGAGAATAATTAAATCAATCTCCTCTACAGCAGCAAGAAGTCTTCCATCAGCTAGGCTGTGTCATCTGCACCCCCAGGCAGGATGATGAGCATTGAAATCTCTTAAAATGAGGAAACGCTTGAGAGGACGGAAAAAGCTACCTATAAAAGGAGACTGGAGTATCCAACCCTGGATGTCTGTACAAATTGACGATTGTTAAAGTGTCCAGCTCCTTGAAAGATATCTTTACCGCTAAGTATTCCATAGACATGTGAGAAACGTTGTCAAAAGAGACAGAATCGCATATAATTCCTTCGCGAATAAACGAGCAGATACCCCTGTCTCCAGGTTGAACTATATCCTTTCTAAAAATTTTTAATCCCTTAACATGAAGATTGTTAATCTGCTTGAGAAGTTTCCTGTACGCAGAATACGTCATAATTCATTGCGATAGAAAGTAGCGAAGGGAAATTATGCCGAATGCCTCGACAATTCCACTGAAAAATCCTGATCACATCCTTATGACCCTCTCCAGAGGGGTGATCCCGATTGACCACGGCTC